GGGCCTGGGGTTGCCACTCGAGGAGCAGGCAGCCGTCGGGGTCCCCAGGGCTCTCCTCCCTCACGTGGGTGACCTAGGGCGCTGCCCTTTCTCTACCCACACTTCCACACATGCTGGGCCTCTCAGGCCCACCCAGCGACCCCACATCAGAAGCCTCCTTTTAGGCCTCTCAAGTGGCACTGAATAAGCTGGAATTATGAACTGAGGCAAAGGCCAGCCTGTAACCGTGTGAGGTGGGATGGAGGAGGCCATGCCCTGCCTGGACCTGGCCCCGAGCTCTTCCACTGCTGACCCTTGCCTGCTTCACAGGTCTGGGTTCCTTCCGGGGACTTTGGAAGCCAAGCAGCCGTAGATCCTGGGACATTTCCCCACCATCACACTCAGTGCCCTTTGCCAAAATGTCCTTCACTCTTCCATGTGCCTCCCTGGTAGCCTCCGAGCAGACAGCACACAGAATTCAACCGACTGTGGCTTTGCACAGCATGATGCAGGAACTCAAAACTGTTTTATTGCATTAACGACGAAATACTCACTTCCTGTTTCCAGGTAATTCTCCGCCTCATTTGTTCCAAAGCCATACCAGGCCAAGCATAGAAAATGGCTTGGTGTACACAGACACTTCTACAGGACACCAAGCGGACGCATCATCTTTGTGATTCTCTTTTTCCAAGGAAGATTAACAACATTCACCCTAGAAGGGCCCTCAGTTGAGGGTTTATGACTTTTGGAGACTGTGAGGACACTCAGAAAGCCAGAATTTACTGTGGATATGTCCCTAATGTCTTAGTTAGGTTAGCAGCTTTGAGCTCGTGAGGACACGGCCTTGCTTGGCTCTGAAGACAAAGCCCACTTAGGCAAGGGCAGGAAGCGAAGCCAGGGATTAGTGGCCGGGCTACTGAAGCAGACAGGCCTTGTAGCAGAGCCGGCCCTGGATGGCGCTGGAGACTACTGAAGCTAGAGACCCTTGCAGCTAGAGAGCCAGGAGGCCAGCAGGTATTGCTGTGGTCACCAGAAAATGTTGAGGAAGGAAAGGTAGGAGATGACAGGGTGAGGGGCTGAGAAGACAGCTGACTTTCCTCCAAGCAGGGAAAAGGGTGAGCTCAATAAATCTCAGTAGTTTTTCATAATATCAACTACTAGCTCTAGGTAGTTTCAAACAAAGTCTTCACCAGAGCCCCAGGAGCCAGTAGGCTCTCATGTAACTGGTGGAGAAGTCTGGTCCAAGGTTCAGCCACTGGCTACTTCAAGAAGACATGACCAAAGCAGCATGCAGCTCCGAAGACCCGGCAGGACATGTTGGGACATCCAGGATCTGATTCCCATTCCCTAACCTGGCTAGCCAAGGGCCTCATCACACCCTAGCCCTCTCTGTAGCACCTCGCCAGGAGCACTGGGATGCCAGGATTTTGCTCCAAGTTCAGTAGCCCTGAGTTTCAAGGTCAGTCTTGTCCACCTGGGTTCACTTTTAAAGAGACACAAGGCCACTTTAATAGGAGAAAGAATGAAAGATGGGGAGGGAAGAAAGTAGGGAAGAGGGAAGGAGAGAGAGAGATAGAGATGGAGGGAGGGGAAAAGAGAAACAGAAAGAGAGGACAGAGAAAGGCAGAGAGACAGAGAGATAGAGACAGAGATAGAGAGGCAGACAGAGATAGAGGCAGCGAGACAGAGGCAGAGAGAGAGAGAGAAAGAGAGAGAGAAAGAGAGAGAGAGAGAGAGAGAGAGAGAGCAAGCGCAGTGAGAGCTATGTGACAGAAGTCAATTCCCTAGGAAAGGTCTTAGGAGGAAATTGCCTGTCAAATAATTTCAAGGAAATGGCATTTCAACATCCAGCAAACGAGGTTTTCCTCCCACTTCCTGCCATCCATCTCCATTTCTCTTTTCAGTTCTCCCCCTTTCCTCGGTTCACTTCCCTGGCCACAAAGGTCTCTTCCATGCTCTCTCTCCACTCTCCCCAGGCTCAGCTGAGAGCTGTCTCCTTGATAATGCTGTGTCATGAAATTACAGAAATCCCAAATCTCAGATATTCCAAATTCTTCTATGCATCCCCCAGGACCCGGCTCCGGACATGACTCTCCCAGTAGTCAGCACCGACAGTCAGCAGGATGAGCAGCAGCTGAAGGGAGCAGGGCAAGCGTGCAGATGGAGCCCAGAGTCCTCTGGCTCCAGGCTTGCTCCTGATATCCTTACCCCAGGCTCTGCCAATGTGTGTGTAGCCCTGGAGGTTCACCCATTTGGAGTCTCTGTTTCCTGTTCTGAGGCAACACCGGGTGAAAATGATTTTAGTCCTGTGGTTCCATCACCCCTGCCCTTGGAGGCTCTCAAATGGGCTTGTGTGAAGCTGCGTACAAACAGATACCATCCTGCGGGCATGACCCTGCAGACCACCTGGGAACTCGTGTGCTGGAGGAGCAGGGGTGGGCGCTGGAAGGGTGACAAGACAGCCCCAACACAGGAGCGAGCAGAGGGGCTGATGGCAGGACGGCCACATGATACTCTTCCTGCAGCCTCAGTTTCCCTGTGTTTGGAAGGAAACCTTATCCAGGGTCAAGTAGACTCCCACTCTCTCCTTTTAAGGGGGCAGAGTGGGGACCACTGGCCGGCTGCTGCGGAGGCCCTTGCTCCAAGGCCTTGCTTATCTCTTGCAGTCCGTGTGGGCAGGGCTTCCGAGAGGCTTCCAGAGAACTCAAGTTGGTAGCTCATCGCCTATTCTGTGCTGCTCCGGATGCCACAGTCTCCCCTAGTCAGCATGCTTGACTCACAGCGCAGTCACTCCTGGGGGCATCTTTTCGCTGCCATTGGACAAAGGAGAGAAAACAAGTTCAGAAAATAGAGGGTTCTCATCAAATGAGTGGCAGAGGTGGGAGTAGACTGCGGCACTGGGACTTCTAAGTTCCCTGTGCTGCTATTGAGTCATTGCTGAGACCCATGGGACTACACAGGTAATAATAACACTAGTCCTGTGCTAAATCCTTCACTAGGATTATCTCATCCAAGTCTTGGAACACCATGGTGCAGAAAAGAAATCCAAGCCTCCATTTTGCAGGCTGAGCAAGGTTTTCCAAAGTCACAAATAGCTTGTCAGTAATTTGGTCAGGTTCAAATCTCTGTGTAAAAGATTTCAGTGGAAGGTGAAAGAGAGCTCCATAGGAGGGTGACTGCCTTCTTCCAGAGAAGATCTAGGTTCTACCTCAGCTTTAGTGAGCCTGAGACAGGACTAGGCTGGGGACAGAAAGAACAAGTACAAGCGGCCTCACTTTCATCGGGTCTGCAGGCTTATCTTTCTCACAGGATTTCCTCAGGCCTCTTATCAGTCTTAACAACTATGGTGTCAACATGTTAACTCCAGTCCGTTGTATGGGGCTCCCTTGAAAGAACATTCCACAGGCGGGGCCAGAAGTAAGCCCTTGCTTTCCTGTCTCTGGCAGAGCGAGCCTCTCTCTCCATGTTTCTCCCTTAAGGCTCTGAGCACCATCACTAACCCAGGCATTAAGCCCAGGAAGGCAAGGCCCATGTCAGCGTGGTCATACACATCCCAGGAGTCCAGTGCAGAGCTGCACGTTCATCAGATAAGTGAATCATTCACTAATTCAATCCAACCACCAAGAACTGGGGAGCTGTTAAGTCCTGGCATGGTGGTCAGAGGTAAATGTACTGAGTGCCACCTACAGTGAGTCTCAGTCCAGGTACTAGCAGAATAGTCAGCAATGTCTCCTCAGATAGTTTGTTAAGTGATGTGAAGAATAAGTGAGTGACACTCAGGGTGCCTGTGGAGGAGTGAACCAAGCTGAGCTGGGAGCACAGGGGCAAAGAGCCCCTGCACCCACCTATGGGCTCCAGAACGCTTTGCTGGAAGAAGCTGAGATGCGACTTGAACCTCACACGACAAGCCGTGTGCATTAAGGGTCCTCAGGAAAGGAGCCTTTGTGGCAGAGGGATGGGCCTGAGCAAAGGCATAAAGATGTAAAAGTATTGCGTGGGGACAGAGCAAAGCATGTGTGGGGCAGGTGACAAAAGGATGACACTTGGAGATCCGTGGATAGGAGTGGGCTATCTCACCGAGGAATTGAAACAACTTTAATCATAATGAGCTGAAGATAAGGTTCCTGATGTTAACACTATACTTATCGGATCATCTGAAAAAATTAAAGTAGATTCACTGTCAAGCAGCAACAAAATGGGATCCCTCATCTTAGCGCATTTCCAACGCATGCAGGACATCTAGGGCCCAGGTGTGGAGCTTTTGCAAACTCTGTGTTCCTAAGGTGCAGGGAACCAATCCAGTGGTTCATCGCAGCAGGTCAAGAGCCTGCAACGCCCGGGCACAGCCGGCAGAACTTTCCAGGTCCTTGTCACTGGACACAGTTCTGACTAGATCACTGCCTCTCCTTTGTCTCCAGAACAGGGACAAGAGGCTTGGCTGGCTCCTTGGGTCTGCACAAGGCAAGGGCCGCCTGCACCCCAGCTCTCAGGATCCACGAGGGTTCAGAGTCCCGCAGTGGGAGACTCGGGTCTTTTCAGTCCATTTCCTGCTCAGGTTTGGGAATTTTCAGGCAGAGAGGAAAAGGACCCAGGGACAAGTTTTAGGAAGAGGGTAATCGCATCAGGTCAGCGGCCTGGAGAGCTCGGCAGGAAAGCGGTGTCCTGGAGGGCGGAGGGGTGGAGGGGAGACGAGTGGCGAGGGCAGTGAAGCCAGCGTTACTTTGCCTGAGGCTGCAGACTGGAGTCCACAAAACAGCGCGACTGACTGGGTGGGAAGACAGCAGACAGCGAGCAGGGACAGCCGCCCAGCGCGCTGGGGGAGGGGAGGCTGGGAGGTGGCCGTGCGGGCCTCCAGCGTGTGTGTGTGTGCGTGTTCGTGTGACTGACAGTGCATGCGTGTGTGTGTGTGTGTGTGTGTGTGTGTGTGCGCGCGCGCGCGCGCGCTCGCGCGTCTGGCGCCTGGCCAGGGTGATTTCCCATAAACCACATGCCCCGGGAACTGCCGCTTAAAAGGCTGTGCCGAGCGTTGGCCAGCGAGGCTCGGCCAGTGGAAAGTGAAAGTTTGCCCGGTTCTCTCGGCGCCGCCGCCGCCGCCGCGCTCTCTGCAGGCCGGGACAGCGGCTCGGCCCTCGGCCTGGGAGCGGACCTCGCAGCAGCAGCGGGCGAGCGGGCGGGCGAGCGATCCCGGGCGCCGAGCGCAACCGGCACCCAGCCGCCCCTATGACCACGCGGGGCGCCGCCGGGCGCTGCCCTCCCATGGTAAGCAGCCGCGCGATGCGGGCCGGGGCGGGCGGGTAGAGGGCGGCGGGGCTGCCGGGCGCTGCCCCTTGGAGCCGACCTCCCGCGCTCCTGCTCCGCAGCCTTCCCGCCGCGGCCTCAGGCCCGGCTCCCTAACTGCCTCTGCGCATCGGCTCCCGGTGCTCGCTCGGGCGGCTGGGTCTCTACAGCCTCGTAGCTGCTTCTGGGGCTGCGGCGCTTCCCGGGGAAGCAGAGGCAGCTCGCCCCCATTGCACGGAGGGGAACACTGAACGACCCACGGGCGGGAGAGAGGGCTCTGCAGATGTGGGTGGAGGCCTGGTGTCACTCGGGATGCCCTTCCAGGCAGAGATCGGGGCGCTGAGCGTGGCGCTGCCTTTCCCGCGGGCAGCTTTCTCTGACCAAACACGTGCTTCTGGGCCCGGTGGGTACGGAGTGGGCATTCTGGCTGCAGAAGGCTCAGTGGTCATCCAGCTTTAGAATGCCAGGGCCTGCTGAGAGCGACCTGCTAGCAGAGGGGAGGAGAGGGCAAGCCACCACTTGTTCCAGCCCAAGGCAGGAGCTGTTGGGAACTTGGGTGGCTGTTTTAGTAGGACCTGGTCACCGAGCTGCCAGGCGCTAGCTCCGAATCTCTTTTGAGCGAAGCCTCATTCAGTAATTTGTGAGATCCGGGCTTCACATAGGACAGTGGACAGAGGGTTTAGGATTGCAGAATTGTGGACAGGGGTCCCTCAGAGTCTAGAGGGGATACCCCACCCCAACAGTGGCAGGAGCTGCTGCGGCTCCAAGAAAACCCAGGGTGACGCTATAAGTACACAGCAAATGGTCTTGTAATGTGTTTGCTTCCGAGGAGCTCTAAAGGACAGCGGATCCAGGGGAGGATGTGCCCAGCCAAGAGGCAGGAGACGGGCTGGGAGGGATGAGGTCAGGCGGAGAGAAGGGCCTGGAGATGAGAGCAGAAGGAAGCGGTGAGCCGAGGGGGTGGGGGTGGGGGCACAAGGGCCAGGTTTGGTCTGGGGCAGCCGAGGCAGCCCCGTGGCACAAGGTCTCTCCAGAGACCTCCGTGCAGGAGAAGATGGACCATAACGGTGGCAGGCGAGGATGGACAGCTGTGCTAAGACATCCCACATCTCTCCAAGCCTGCTGCAGATTCCTTCCCTGGGCTGCTCCCACAGGCAAAGTCAGGGTGGGAGGAAGAAGGGAACCAGGAAGAGCCTGCCTAGCCAGATGCGAGCTGCAGCCTTAACCCTTGGGCGCCCATCTGGGCCCTCTTGCAACAGCTTTTAGGCCCCAGTCCACCGTGGCCCCCTTTGGCCATCCTCAAAGCCAGCCTCCTGCACGATGGCCACACTCTCCCACTCTGGATGCCTGTCGTGCAGCCCAAAGTCAGGTATCCCTTGGCTAAGCACTGTGCTCACCTTGCTGTCAAACATCTGTATTCTACAATGTGCACAGTGGGGCTTTCTGCCCAGGCATCATCTTCCCCAGAGGCCCCTTCCTCCATACCCTCACACCTGGGGCTCTCATCTTCCATGGCACCCTCCTGGGGCAAAGTCATGTGCAGCTGCCCCTAATAGGTCCTGAGCCTGAAGGGTCTGAAGGCCACAGCAGCCCCTCCCACCCAGGGCCCCCACCCCAGCTGCAGAGCTCAAAGTACCCTGCAGTGCATGACTATCCTCCCTGGCATCCCAGGTCGAGCCAGGGCCCTCACAGGCCTGTGCTAAATGCACTGAGTCACCAAGAATTGCCTCTGTCCAGGTGCCCCCTCTATGCAGGTGAACACTTCTGGTTGGGAAAAATTCAGGGGCCATCCAGCTTTACAACACTAGGGCCTTCCTCTCCTGCCATCAAGCTCTCTCTGAGTTCCAAGGCCTCATTCTATCCCTTACCCATGTAGCCTCCCTGATAGCTCAGCCAGACCTGTCTTTGTAAGAACTTGCAAAGCTTTGGGGTTTAGATATAAATCAGCATATTGTTGTGAGCAGCTTCATGGCCCTCTGTGTTTTTCTCAATGTGCTACTTATTTGTAGTAGTTGTCCCATCATCTGGATTACTGGGACAAAGCCCAGAGCCCGGGGATGTGCCAGCCTGCCACCTCACCCTGCCAGCATTTCCCTGAATTTGGGGCCATCAGCTGCCAGGAGGTTTAGGAGCACCCAGGGGGCAACTTCTAGCTGGGGGGAGATAGCTCAAGGGTCCCACGGCCTCCAGGTGGAGAAAGGGAGCCCTAACACCACGGATTGGGGTGAGGAGACTTCAGGGAGGAGGAGGAAGGGAGAAGCAAAGAAAGGCAAAGCAGTGGGAGCCGGTGCTGTCACTCGGGCTAGGCAGCTGCTGAGTCAGGCAAGTGCTGAGAGAAGGGAGCCTTCTCTGTGGTGGCAGGAGCTGGCTGGCTGGGTGCGCAGCCTGATGGGGCTGATAGCGAAGTGCTAGCCAGGGATGGGCCAGAGCTGGCACTACAACCTCTGGTGAATCAGTTTGACTTCTTTTTGGAACATGTTCCTGAGGTTGCAGAGAGCCTCCGGCATGGGACCAGTTCCTGATGACATTTAGCTTGGTCCCCTGGCTCTTCCAGTGGCAGTCAGATCTGGAGAGAACCAGGTATAGGGAAGGTCTAAGCCCTGGGGAAAATGTCTGTGGCTTGCTGTCTGGAATCTGGTGCATGAACCCGAGGACAACTCACCAGGTGCTTGGCTCAGTGTTAGCGTGGCAAGGGTCTAATGATGGGTAGCAGCTCCTGTCCTTGAGGGGCGTCCTGTGCCATTAGAAATTAGGCAGGTAGACACATCACCTGTGTCATTGCTAGAAGTTTGATGTGTACCTGAGGCTGTCCTGGCTTCGTCTGGGAAGGCTCCTGAGATTGCAGTTGGGTTGTTAAAAGGAGGAAGCAAAATAGTGCATTGGCTGATAGTAAATCCCGGGAAATCTGGTCTTGAGGATGCTGCATAATAGGGTGGGAAGCAGAGGCTGTAGTGTGACACGTCTGAGATGGTTGACTTCTGTCCTCAGTAGTGTAGAGAAGTAGCTGGGGAGAGTGAAAGCTGGAGAAAAATGACATGTTCTCTGTCGCAGGCATGGCTGTGCCCCTGGCTGCTACTGGTCTTTCTCCTGCTGAGCAGGAGCATTGCGGAGGAGATATCGGAGCACTGTAGCCACATGATTGGGAACGGACACCTGCAGGTCCTGCAGCACCTAGTGAGTATGTGGCTATGCCTTCTCCTTCTGGGGAAACAGTCGGGGGCAAGGAATGGGTCAAAGAAGAGGGACTGCAGGAAAGAAGGCCACGTAGGCCATGCCTCCCCTGCTGCTCTCCTTACTGACCTTTCCTAAGGCTGAGACTTCAGATCTCCATGTCCTGAGGCCCTCACTGACTCCCCTGAGGCTGAGTTGGGTGGCAGGTTGCCGGAGTCAGCGGTTGCCCCAGAGCAGGCACTGTCCATTCTAAAAGAGCTCCTAAGGCCTGCTTTGGCTCAGGGAATTAATGCCTCCTTTGGAAGATAGCCCCATCTGCCTGCTGATCCAGATGTTGTATGTAACTCCTGGATTCCCAGATGTGCCGCCAGCCTGGTACCAGGGCCCTACCCAGATTTGGAGGGGAGGCTCCTGCCTAACTACCAGCCCTCCACCCTTACTTCTCTGGCGCTTGCCCCTGAAGCTGCAATGGCCTGCTCATCCAGGCCATGAAGTAGCCATGTCTTTGAAATCGTCAACAACTCCACACATGGTCCAGCCAGGCAGTGTCAGGGTACTATCATGGCTTCTGTTCAGCCCAGAAGAGAATGCATCATCCCTCTGGGCAGCCAGGTGGGGTGGGACACCACTGGCTAAGGCCAGCCCCAGGGCCCTGAACTTAGGACCATAGGCTGGGCCTTCCATCTCTCTGTCCCCTCATACTCCTCCTGCATGTAACTGCTGCAAGCAAGGTAGACCAAAGGCCATAGCATTCTCAAAGGTTTAGAACATAAACTCCTGCTCTGGAAGTCTAATAGGGGCTTCAAATGCATTATCCCTGTCCCCTATAGATGCTGAATTCCCAGAACTCAGCAGGTTTTGCTTGAATTTCTGCCATAACAGGGTCCTCACTACCTCCAACCAAGGTTGTACCTACACTATCCTATATATTCCTTGTACATTCTTTCTTATAACAAACTGGCATTGCAATTTCATGAAGTGTAAGGTAGAAGAAAAAGACTTTTTGCTATTCCACAACCTTCCTCCAGGCACCTGGAAGGCACAGGCCTTACCCCCAGCCTTAGCTTTGTCTTTCCAGGGGTGGCTGGGGTAGGCAGGAGCCAGATGAAATTCAAACGTTGATCTATCCAGAAACTATGGTACCTGGGCCATGAAGGAGCCCCTGTCTCCATTTAATCAGACCAACAGAACTGTCAACAACTCTGAGGCCCGCTTAGCTGAGCTATAGATACCCTGCAACTACTGGCTTGCTCTCTCTTACAGATTGACAGTCAGATGGAGACCTCGTGCCACATTACCTTTGAGTTTGCCGATGAAAAGCAGCTGGTGAGTGGCAGCTATTAGCGAATCCATGTGTCGAGCTGTGTGCCTCTCCTAGGGGCGGGGGCGTGTGGGAGCACGAAGGCAGCAGAAACCCTAGAGCTGGAAGGATGAGGGTGTGGAGATCCTGGGCTGTTCAAGCCTACGGGGCCAACAGTCAGAGCTGAGCAGGATGCAGGGCTCAGGTACTCTGCTCTTCCCATCTGACTGGTGCATAAAAGAGCTTACTGTGTGCCCAGTGCTTTTCCAAGTAGGCCAAACAGTAGCAGTAGGTGGGCCACATTCATTGTTCATGATCCACACCGAGGTTAAAGGAGCTCAGCTAGCAAGTGCTCGAAGCCTGATTAGAGCTCAAGCACCTTATCTCTAGGGCCTAAGAAGGGGATATCCTTCTTTCAGATTATATGCTTTAGGAAACCATGTCCCCATCATTCTCCAGCCAGCCAGCAGTGAGGGAAGTGATCCAGCCCATGCTTCTAACCCACACCTCACCAGCCAGCGGATGTGACTGATTCTGCCTCCCAGCCCCTGGAGGCTCTGTCCTGCCTGCTCAAATCAGTCTCAATTTCAGGAGCCTCTCCTGCCTTAGTCCGGTACACACAACCCCACCTGCCCACTAGGGGGAGCTTTGTGAAACCCCAACTTGCTTCCTTGGCTCCTCAGGGACCCCAGCCCTCCAGGAGAAAGCCCAGGCTGCCTAGTTGGGTGTCCCCTCCCCATCCCCCTGCCCAGCCCTTCCCCTGCTCCTTTTTCTCCTCTGAACTCTTGCTGATGCCTGTGTCTCCTCTGCAGAGGAGTCACCCCCGACACTGTACCTCTTCACCTTTGTGTCCCCTGTGGTGTCATCTCTGAGTTCCCACATACCAAACCTGCACCCACCTCTATTAAAAACAGAAGACCAGCTCCCAGTCTAAAGAACAGCCTCTGTATTTCATTCATTCACTTCCTCTCTCACTCAGGACATTATTAGAAATGCACTGGACCAGGTGCAAGAACCAGAGCTAAAATAGTTTGTGTCTACAAAGCAATTGCCTTCCTGACAGGGAGGGGAGACACTGAGGGCACTCCTTCAGAGCCCCTGTTTTCTGGAAGATTTGAAAGTCCCACAAGGCAAAGGAGAGGGAGCAGGGTGCACATCCACCCGATAAAGCTCTGTATTCCAAAAATCCAAAGGTCTTCCTAGTCATAACCTATGTTTCCTTCACTTTAGTTTAGTCCTCACAGTGCTAGGTCCCAAGAGAGAGAGAGAGAGACAACCTGAAGGCAGCATTCTCCTCATCGCTAATACGGAGCATCCCTTTGGGTGAGAGGAGACCAGGCTGCCGTCCTCCGTGTACCTGGGACAGAAGGCATCTAACATAGAGCTTTGGTTCCAGGCCTCATCTGCAAGGCCATAAATTCTTGGTTCCTGCTTTTCAGAAAGACCCCGTGTGTTATCTTAAGAAGGCGTTTCTCCTGGTGGAAGACATAATGGAGGACACCATGCGCTTCAGAGAGGAAACTCCCAATGCCAAGGCTATCCTCCAGCTCCAGACCCTCTCTGTGAGGCTGAAGAGCTGCTTCACCAAGGATTATGAAAAGCAAGACAAGGTGAGAGGGTCCTGGATGTAGAGCACTAAGTAAAGTGACGGGTACCAGGGGAGGTACCAGCCCTGCCCACAGCCACAGGGTACATCCGCTCACCTCCACTCATGCCATCACTTGCTCACTCACTTATTTATCCACTCTATAAACCTTTACTTAGGACTCAGGGCCAGGTGGCACAGGGCCAGGAGGGCTGCTGTCCTCAGAGTAAGAAATTCCTGGTTCTCACCCTTGCGGAACTTGGGGTCAAGTGGGGGTGGGTAGCTATGAAGAGATGGCACACTGCAAACCAGCAGGGTTGTTTGTTCACTCGGGACGCACCCCTAAGTGCCCATTGTGTACAGGGTGCTGTCCTAGACACCAGGAAGCAGCTGTGATCGAAACACAAAATTCCCCACAATTATGGAAATGGCATTTGGGGATGGGCGGGACAGTGAATAAAATACACAAGTAAATATGTGGATGGGGAATGGTGATAACTGCTGTAGAGAGTCAGCCAGCAACAGGGAGGCCTGCAGGAGGAGAGAGAGTGAGCCACGGGCTCTGAGGAAGCAACAGGGAGCTCTACAGTAAGTGAGAATGCAGAGAGACAAAGAAGACTTCCAAGTGAGAAGTAGTAACTTGAATTCCAAAGATGAGTAAGTGAGAAAGCAATAAGGAGAAGAACATTCCAGAACAAGGAATGCCATGCACAAGGCAGGCTACGCAGTGCTGCACTCCACAGCAAGGCACGTGCTCAGGACCCCCAGGAGGCTGATACAGCCGATGCCTGGGAAGTGAAGGCAGGGACAAGAGAAGGAGGGAACTGGACTGTGTGGGCTACCAAAAATGTGGCATTGTTGTCTTCATTAGGAGGGAAGCCACTGTGGCCTGGCCAGTGACCTAATGCCACGTACGCTGTGTGACTGTTCTGGTTGCTACAGAGGACAGAATGGAGGCCAGAGGCTTAAGTCACAGGGAGGGTGGCAGCTTGGATGGGGGTGCTGGGGGGGTGGGGTGAAGGCAGAAGTGAGGATGCTTCCCCACAGGCTGGGTGCAGACCTCCTTTGTGCATGCAGAGGAGGCGAGGGGCTCGGGAGGGAAAAGCCGGGGCACTTGTATCTTGAGCACTGGGATAGCTCAAGGATGCTAAAGTGGCAATGGGAAGAGCATGTCTGGGGAAGAGCCGGATCCGGCCTTGGACACATTGGACCTGAGGTGCTTGAGGAATGGCCGGGTGGACGCCGAGTAGGTGGCTGGGTGTGTGGCTCCTGAGCATCACAGGCGGCACACTGACGAGAAGCACCGCATGAAAGCTGCCTGAGAAGTCACAGAGCTGGATGGCACTGCTCCTAGTGAGGGGAGAAGCAGGCCCAGGAACCCCAGCATTTAAAGATCACTCAAAGGAGAGTTGCCTGGGGAGGAGCAGCTCGCGAAGGGGAACCAGGAGGTGGTCGCGTCTCGGGGTGTCAAGGTGAAGGAACAGCCAGCTTTTCAAGTGGTGTGGAGAAGTCAGGCATGATGAGAGCTGCCAAGCGTCTGCTCGGTTGGGCAACACCATGGCCACTGCGTAGAGGCAGATTGGAGGGAACAGAAAGAAGTGGAGACAGCGCTGTGGGGAAACCCGGTTCTGAGACAGCAGCAGCCATGTGGCTGGAGGGGGCATGGGGATTAGGGAGCAAAGAAATTCTTCAACAAGAGATACTAAATCTGTGGTTTCCCAACAGTAAGGTAGCTGAGAGTCACTAGAGAGCTGGCTTAGAATGTCAAGTCCTGGCACAGACTCCTAGAGACTGAGCTTCACTGGGTCCAAGAGTGGGTCCAGGAATTCATATTTTAAGAACCTGTGCCACCCATGATTGAGATAAAATGTTCTCGGGCGCATGTGGGTAGATACCTATTCACCAACAGAGCAGCCAGTGAATGCCGAGGGCAGGCAGCTGTGAGTCGGGGTGGCTGTCAGGGTCCTGGCTGAAGATCCTTAATACTGACTTCCTGGTGGAGCCTGAGGTGAGGCGTGAGGGAGATTGGTTTACAGAGAGCAAGGCAAGGAAGAACCAGCAAGCTGGACTCCCCACTAGCACCCTGGGGGGAAGTTTGGTAGTGTGCTGCTCTGACTTCACACGTGAGGAAGGACCCCAAGCTGGACAATGTGTTGGTTGCTGTCACCTAGCTGCCAAGCAAGGGAACTAGGCCAGGTTGTCACTTCATACATTTAGCTGGTAAACATGTATTATAAGCTATTATGTGCAGTCCAGAAAAATGCAGCCATGTGCTTTAGGACATTGCAGTTTAGGAAAGCCCAGTTCTCTGCTGTGTATCTCTGCTTAAGGAAAAGCGTGGTGCCTGGCAGCTACTGGCAAGCGGGCCATGGATGAAGTCAGGGGTATGCACGAAAGGAGAGGTAGGACCAGGGCTGGGCCTGAGGAATTCCAACCTTGGAAGTTGGGAGCTGATGAAGCACAGCGAAGCCACAGCTGAAGAGGCAGAAAGAAGCCAAGAGGGCGAAGCTTCTCAGCTCCAGTGGGCATGGGAGCCTGGTCCCAGGAGCAGAAGGAAAGACAGCCACTCAGCAGCCATGCCTGAGCCATCCTCAGCCCATCCTCCCAGGTGCGCCAGTGCCAGCACCGGAGCCTGTCTCCTCCCACACCTCCACGCCATTCTTCACACCATTAGCAAGATGAGTTGTCTAAAATTCAAATCTCAATGTGCCACTGCCCACCTCCCCGAAAACTCTTTTGCAGTTTTCATTTTCGCTACGGATAAAGTTAAAAGTTTCTGACACGTTCAACAAGGCCCTACAGAGCAAGGATCTGGCCGAAGGCCTTCCAGCTGTGTCGCTTGCTGCTTCCCTCTAGACTGTGCTGCAGCCACTCCCGCCCTCCCAACACTCGGGGCACTTCGTGCACTTTTCTGCCTCCGGACCTTTGCAGTCTGTTCTCACTGTCAGGGTGGCTCTTCCCAGCCCTACCTCTTCTGATTAATTTGCCTTTCATCTTTTGGTTGGTTCCGTGGGGAAGTTCTCCCTGGACCCTCATTGAGTTCTCTTTTGTTATGGACCTTTAGATTGCTCAGCACTTTCCCGTAAAACTCCCTGCAGATGGGACAATTTCTTTCATGCTAATAGCCTGCTGGGCTCAGTGTTCAACTCAGCCAGGAACTATATGTCTCTTGTTCGTTGTTCCATACTCAGTAATTAACTAGAGCCTGGCACATAAATATGTGCAGATAGATTCATGGGTAAATGACATAGCTCATTACCTCAGAACTGAGTCTCTTCTTCTCAGAGGAGAAGGGAGGAAGGAGACAATGGGGGCAAAGCAGACTGATGTGAAAAAGGCCAAGGGAATTTAACAGACGTGATAGTTAGGCGAAGCCAGTGGGCATGCTCACCAGGGGGGTCCTGCTGTGCTTCCAGGCCTGTGTCCGAACTTTCAATGAGACTCCCCTCCAGTTAATGGAGAAGATCAAAAATGTCTTCAATGAAACAAAGAATCTCCTTGAAGAGGACTGGAAGATTTTCACCAAAAACTGCAGTGACAGTTTTGCTAAGTGCTCCAGCCCAGGTAAGCACCGACAGGCAGCAGGGGGAAGGTGACACGTGGGGCTGGGAGGACCGGCTGCTTGACACCTTTCTGTGTGTGTAGAAGTGCTTGTTTCATGTGTACGTGTGGCTTTGTGTACCCTGGGCCTTGCCTGATGTGTGTGCATGCACAGCACTGTGTATCTGCATGTGGAAGCGGGGCTGTGAGGTCAGGGGTGGGAAGCAGCGCGTACATGGAGGGATCCCCCAGCTCCAGCTCCGCAGTCTGGCCAAACTCACACAGGTTCTGTGGAGAGCAGACAGTCCATTTGGGAGTTTAGTGCCCTTGCTCCAAGAGCCCTGCTGTGAACCACCAAGAGACCCATGCTCCAGAAGTCCCCAGGATGCCTTGGGTGGCCCCTCAAGGGACAAGGCTGGATTGGAAGTCTGAACATCAAACTCTCCCGCAGTTGGCTCAGCTTCGTACTTAGCACCCTATGTGTCCTCGTCTCAGCGTCCTGTGCCACACTGGCCCCACCGCATTCACCCCTACTCCCTGAGGCAGGGGCTGAGGCCCTCAACTGACCGGTGACCACATCCAGTCCCATTATTTCAATCCCCGAACTCCAAGCTTTGGTCATAGCCCGCACCAGCCTATTCCTGCTGGTGGCTGTGGGGGAGCAGTTCCTGGCTGGCCATGCATGAAATCAGCGTCTTGGGTGCATCTGTGTCTTGTGTCAGTCTGCAATGTCATGGCTCAGTCTGGCTGCTGCTCAGTTGGGGCTTGTCCTCTGGCCACTTAGAACCCCAATTCAAGTCATCCTCTGGCCTTCCTCACCTAGACCCCAGTCTGTGCTTCTGTACCCCACTCTGCTCTCTGTCCATGATACCCTGTCCCCTGTGCCTTCCTTGCCTGGGTCCTGTCATGAGCAGTGGCTGCAGTCCGTCCCCTCCTCCACAGCCCCAGGGCTGAGTTAGGAGATGAGAAACTGCCAGACCCCTACCCCCTCTTGTCCCCCTGGGGGAGCTGTGCTGGAGGCTGGTGACTCTATTTCCTCCTTGTCTTTCTCTCTCCCCCTCTCTGTGGTTCTTTCAGATGTGGTGACCAAGCCTGATTGCAACTGCCTGTTCCCCAAAGCCACCCCTAGCAGTGAGCTGGCCTCTGTCTCCCCTCATCAGCCCCTCACCCCCTCCAAGGTCCCTAAGGCTGGCTTGACCTGGGATGACTCTGAGGGGACAGATGGCAAGTCCCTCTTGCCCAATGAGCAGCCACTTCACACAGTGGACCCAGGCAAGGCAAAGCATCGACCACCCAGGAGCACCTGCCAAAGCCTCGAGTCACCAGAGACCCCAAGTCTCGTGGACAACCCCCCTGGAGGTTCACCACAGCCTTACCCCTCTGGAAAGGCCCCCAGCTCTGGGATGAAGAACATTCTGGACTCCAGACTGGACACTACCTGGGCCTTAGAAGAGGCCTCTGGTGAGGCTAGTGAGGGTCCTGTACCTCACGGGGCAGAGTTTTCACCCTCCGGGCCAGAAGGGGGCAGCATCCGGGGACAACTGGCCATACCCAAAGACCTCCTCTCAGCATCTTCTCCACTCTCAACCGCAGAGGACCAACAGCCACCATTGCTGAAGGTGGACCCTGTGAGAGGCACTGGCCAGGTCAAGAATGGCGCTCTTGAGATGGCAGACCATTCCTCTATCCAGCCCACAGAGGGCGAGGAGACAGACTCTACCCAGACCCCATCACTGCGACCCCCAGGCCTCAGCCATCATGCCACCCCTTCTGCTCAGCCACAGCTTCTGGGAAGCCGCTCCTGGAGAATTGTGCTGCCCCTTGGGGAGCTGGAGGGCAAGAGGATCACCAGGAGCCGAAGGAGCCCCGTAGAGCTGGAAGGAGGACAAGCGAGCGAGGCGTTAGCCAGACCCCTGGCCCCTTTTAACTCCGTTCCTTTGACTGACACAGGCCGTGAGAGGCAGCCTGAGAGAACCTTCAGCCCCCAGCTCCCTGGGCTCGTCTTCCACCTGCTGGTGCCCAGCATCATCCTGGTCTTGCTGGCCGTGGGGGGCCTGCTGTTCTACAGGCGGAGGTGGAGGGTAAGGAGATCCCAGGGGAGACAGGAGGGCGCTTGCAGGGGCGCTGCCTGGGCTGTGCGTGAGTGCGACGCGGAGGACGACCTCAGCTCCACCTGGGCCCTGCAAGGCTGAGCGGTGGGGTCTGACATAGCGCACAGGGTGAGAAGTAGGAACAGAAGTCTGCTTCTAGCATCAGGAAGGTGCCAGCCAGGAAGTTAATGGGAGGGACAAGCGTAAGGAAGTAGGAGAGATGATTCTGCGGCTAACAGCAGGCTGGCAACGAGGCAGGAAGAGGGAAGAGGACAGAGAGCAGGGCTGTGCATGCCATCTCCGCAGAGCCTTGGCATGAAGACCCTGTGGGTGCAGCCTGCGTGGGAGGAGAGTGGGGGCCCGCAGCGAGAAGGCCTTAGCACTTGCCTCTGCCCTCTGCATGATCCGGACTTCCCAGTAGCTGGGGGCACTCTGCTAACTTACTCGTCAGTGGCTGGGAGTGGGGCCACCATCTCCCTTCCCTCCCCCACCGTCTCAACAAGCCTGCTTTTCCTGTCCCCAGAGCCATCAAGAGCCTCAGCCAGTGGATTCTCTCATGAGGCACCCAGAGAGCAGGTGAGAGGCTGGGTTGTGTTCTGGGAGGCCCTGGCAGCCTGGCTTGGGATCGGTTTCCCTTTTAGCCTTGGTAGAGGAGGCTTCCCCTATTACTCTGAGAACATGAATCTATAGAACAGAATGGAGGTGGGGCAGTGGAAGGGACCCTCTTCTTTCCTTAGATAGCTGGGGTTTTTTCAGATTTCTTCTGGGAATTCAGCAGTTCTGGGTCTCCTAAGTCTGAGAGGGTTGGAGCATATCCTGTCTGGGATTCAGGGTGAGCCCATGGGGCCCTCCCTCCTCAGCTCCTGCTGAAGTCTTATGCTAGCCCTGTGCTCTGCCTGCAGCTCCATGACTCAGGATGAGGACAGACAGGTGGAACTGCCGGTATAGAGGAAGCCTAAGGTACGACTCTGATTCTGATCTCACTCCACCCCTTATCTGTTGCCGAAATTCCCAACTCTCCTGAGGCCCAAGCACTTGTCTCCCTCCCCTCTATCCTGTTCTCTTTTCCATTCACCCATTTATCACCAAATCTGCCCTGATCTCTGTCTCTTTCAGGGCCACAGGTCTCCCCTCACCGCCCCATTTCCTCTGCCCACTTGAAGTCCCAGGGTGTTACCACTGCAGTGGGTTTCTAGTCTTGCTGTCAGCTTCAATCCCAAAGCAACCAAAATCCTCCTCTTTCAGTGTGGCTTTTTGGAAGATCTTGACCCTCTTGGGGAATTTTCAGTAGCACTGTGTGACCGCCCACTTCTAACACATCACCAGCTGTCGAGCTCCTAGCAGCCACCCTTGGTGCGCACCTCATGCCAAACTGTCCCACCTTTGGCAAGGTCATTTCTACCTTCCTGCTTTTGGAGTCATGGTGCCACAGCACCTGGGTCTGAGGAGGGCTCTCAGGTCCTCTGGCCCTCAACCACCTCATCAGGACCAAGAGGCCCTATATCCCCAACATGGAGTTGACCAGCTTCCTGACTCGTTGTCTGGTCCTTGGCAAGCCCTTTGCCTAGCCACAGCCCATGCTTTCCTCCACTAACATGGAGAAAGGCCCTCCTCATGTGGGGCAGAGCTGCCTCTCCTGTCCCTTCTTCGGGGTTCCTACTTCCTCTTTTCATGAGGCTCACAGACATTTAAAGTCAGCCATCTAGGTTCTGGTTAGGAATTCTCTATGCAAAACATAGCCAAGCCCCTCAAATATTCTTTCTATGACATGGTTTCAGACCCCTCACCATCCTGGACATACTCGTTTGTCAATATCCCTCTGAAAGTGTGGTACCCAGTCCTGGACACAGTACACCAGATGTTGTCTGGCCAGCTCAGAGTACAGTCAGACTGCTACCTTTCTTGATCTGGACAGTACTCTTCTCATGCCGATTAAGATTGCATTAGTTTCCAATGACTGTGTCATATTGTGGTCCTGTGTTCAGCTTGTGGTCTGCTAGGAGCCCTAATTCTATTTCCCATGAGCCCCTACCCAGCTGACCTTCTTCATCCTGTACTTGGACAACCTAATGTTTTTAACTAAAGCACAGAACTTTATACTCATCTGCGTTCAGAGCACATTGTTGGGTTCTGCATATTCCCCCAGGCAGCCGACAGCATTTTTACTCCCAGTTCTGTCATTTTTGTCGCCCTCTCAGCTGGGTCCCTGCATGTGGATGAGTACCTTCTGCTGGGAAGCCTTGCCCTTGTTGTTGCTAAAGACGGGATCTGTGTTGTTCCCACCCACAAGTGGCTCATCAGGAACCCTTCTGGACTGTGTCCCCAGTCCTCTGGGTGCTCCTTGAATTCATAGCCCTCTGCTGTTTTGTACCTTGTCAATACTATATTGGCTTGCACCTTCTTGGTTGCTGTTTCTATACATTTTTAAGTCTTACTTTATGTGTGTGTGTGTGTGTGTACACTCTGCACTGCTGAGAAGATTGTAAGCCACGTGGGGGCAAGCACAGTCTTCCACCACTTCTTTTTCCATCCCAGGTTCTAGTTCAGAGAGAGTTTCTCCATACTTGCCAAAAAAACACAACAACAACAGCAATGAATGTTGACTGGCACACTCCAGGGCTGGTTCACTGGCCAGCTCTTTTAACTGACCAGTCTTCTGGCTGACTAATTAGTAACCTAATTAACTCTGACACCAGAGCTGCTTGGGTGGCAAACAGACTGACTAGCTGTGCCTGCCTCTGTGTCCCACTGTTGAGCGGTGGGCTGACTGGGTAATCAAGCAGCCAGCAGACTGCCTGCCTCATGGATTTGCTGGCTGCGCACCTGGCCACCTAGCTGGGTGACCCATTCAGGTTCTAGTCCCCTCACCAGCTGTGAGCACCTTAGGGCCTTCCTGTGTGACAGGACTGCTCCTCTAGGGGACCGGACAGAGGCTCAACACTAAGGGAACTGGCTTAGAAGAGCAGCCATCAGATCTGGAATCCTGGGTCCCTCTTGTCAGTAAGGAGGGAGAAAGGAGGAGAGTAGAGAGGCCGGGGCAGTGGCAGAGCTGTAGGAAAGACCATGTCAGATAAGCAAAGGATGAAAACCCTTGGGGAATTTTTGGCCCAGTGTCGTGCTGCCTCCTACCAACCAGTAGTTCTCCCCCCACCCCACCTCGGGGGGTCTTGCCTCGGCCCAGAACCCTCCTCCTTTCGTTCTATTTTCCCTGCCTACCTACTCTCAGGCCTATTCAATCCTTCCAAGATTTTACTTGGAGTGGGGACCAGGGTAAAGGCCACACTGAGGTCCACTTGGCCCCCTGGATCTAATGGGTGGCCTATAGTGGCTCTGTCAAGCACCAGCAATCCAGACTGCTGCTCTGAGGCGGGAGGTGAGAACAGGCCACTCAGAAGCACCTGTGAGCGACAAAAGGCTCCAGTGAGTGCAGACACCAGCACCTCAGCCTGTGGAGCCTGCAAGGAGAAGGCAGGCCAGAGCACGCCCTCTTGGTCCTTTTGCCCTCCTGGGCCAGGTAGGGCCTGTGGCCAGGCTATGCCAGTAGGGCTCATGTTCAGGCTGTAGTTTCCCCTTATTTCCCCTCTAGAGCATGGGAACGGGCTAAGAGCCAGAGCCCTGGGTCCCATCTCCCTCCTTACCCATCGTAGGCTTGACCAGTAAGGCTGTGGACATAAGGGAGGGAGGGAGGCGCCACACAGGGTCCAAAGTCAAACTGTTGGATGGGGTCCAGGGGATTTCTGCTCTGGGAACAAAGCGTTCTAAGGATGCTGGGCAAGGGGACAAGGGCGGGGGTGGGGTGGGGAGAGGGCAGGGCCCTGCCTCTTGCACATGATGCGAGAGAGGCAAGTCCCTCAGCCCATCTGGGTGGTCAAGAGGCTCAGGGGTAGCACACCCAAGGCAGGGGACAAGGGACAGATTTCCTTATTCTAAAACTATGCATCTGTTACCTTTGCCTTAATATCATCTGCCAAGATATTTTCTGTGAAGGGTGTGAAGGTGGAAATGCAATTCTTTGCTACAAGTAGCAGGCATCACCATTAGTTCATCTGACATCTGAGCCCACCTTGCCTGAGGAGGGGTGCAGCCTTCTCCCCTCCAGCCACTCTGCTTGGGCAGCGGCCCCTCCCCCTTCTTGATCCTGACCTCCACCAGGCCCCACTACCTCCCCCTGTGGTCCCTGGTTCCCAAGAGGAAGTAGGAGATGAGGCCAGTCAGTCCAGAGGCTTGGCTGACTGCCAGGCCAAGCCGCCTCTTCCCTCTGCGGTGTCTGGAGTGGCCGGGAGGGTGAGAGAAGGGATGGGAGGAAATCCTGCGTGCAGCACTGCCAGCCACCCACAGGAATGCCACACCTCTCCGGGCCACGTCCTCAGCGACCCCTCCACACTCCCCCCAGGCTGACCAGCCTCCTCTTTTCTCCCTACAGGTGGCCATGGAGGACTGTCTCTCCACGGGAGAAGATGCAACAGGGCCGTCCGCCACCACCCTCCCTGGCTCTTCTCCTGGAAATGTGGCCTTTCTGCCACCTGATCCCCTGCCTGCCAGGACTGGACTGGAGCAGCCGGGCTGTAGTTCCTATGACTTGACCCTCAGACTTTCAACGACTGAGAGAAGGCCAAAGGACGCCGCCCACACTGCCACTATTTATTGTGGGCCCTGGAGGCCCTGTGAGCTTGAGGAAGGCTGGCGAGCTGGCTCAGGACCTTCTCCCTCGGGGGCTGCCCCTCTGCTCCTTCCTCTCCATGCCAGCACCTGGGTCGGGGGCCCACGCGCCTGTGGTATGTGGGAGACCAGAGTGGATGCTGAGGAGCCAGCTGGTGCCAAGAGATACCATTGTTGACATGCAGGGACCTGTCTCCAGAGGAGTCGTGGATGAGGGAAGAGCAGCAGCAGCCTGATTTCCTGGAAAGGGAGATCTGCACCCTCCACTGACCTGAGTGTCCTGCGCTGGTGGCCCGGTGGTGAGGGGAGGCCAGCTCCACTCTCAGGACCTGCCTACCCTGACTCATCACGCCAGGAGGAGGACCTGGCTCTGGCCTCCACACCTCCATCCCTCCAGCCCTGGCCAGAGCACCTACTAGAGGCTGGGCAGAAGCTCCCCTCATGAAGGAAGCCATTGCACTGTGAAAACTGAACCTGCCTGCTGAAAAGCCTGCCCATCTACCCTACAAGCAAGCATCCGTCCAAACGCTCCCCACCTCCCCAGCCTCTCCCCAGCCTCCTACACTGAGCTGGCCTCACCTGTCGACTGAGGGAGCCCCTAAGCCCTAACCTTCTCCTGACCCAGCCTTTGACTCCTTGGGTGGAGCAGGTGGAAGAACCGCCCAGGCCACCAGCCGGAGCTGGCCTTCAGGCTGCGTGTTCACCCAGGTTTCTGCATCTTGCACTTTGACATTCCCACGTGGAAAGTGACTAGAGGGAGGGAGAGAAGGAGGGAGGGCAGCGGAGGCAGAGAGGTACAGGGAGAGCTCTGACTGAGAGTGGGTCTGGAAATACGGCTGTGCCCCTGAGACTGGGGAGACCTCTGCGCCCCAAGCCCTCAGCCCAGTGTACTTTGCCTGCTGCTCGCAGGCTCCTGCCACCAAGCAGGTTTTCCCCATCAGGAGCCCTGCAGCTGGGCTGTGCTCCAGCCCCGCCTGCATGGTCCCCAGCTCTCCTCTTTTGGTCCTTCTTTTTTCCTGACCCCTAGAGGCAGTGACCCCCTCCAACACTCACCGCACCCCCACTATCTTGGGCCGAGCAAGGGAGCTGGAGACGAGGCGGGAGATCCAGGCATCTGCTTCAGGCTCTGCTCTGAGGACCCCAGCTTCCTGGGCTGGCCCTTGCCAGGGCTCTGAGACCCGGGCAACAGGTGACAGGGCTGTCAACTGTCCTCAGTCCCTTTATGCTGCTGTGTCCCTCCTTTCCTGCCCTCCACTGGGAGACCTTGTCCTCCCTGGCTGACACCTCTTTCCACCAGGGAGAGTGAGGCCCACTGCCCATCCCGATGATGACAGCTGAGGGGAGGGCAGGTGCGAGCTTTCTTGTGGGGCTCATCCTTCTAGTCACAGACTCCATACTCATGCTAGAAAACACGTATTTTTAAATGGAAGGAAAGAAAACAGAGAAAAGAGGCATTCCTCCACACCCTTCAACGTTAAATGTGTAGTATTCAAAAAATCAAAACAGCAGATTCAACCCATTGCAGAAGCTCTTTGTGGGCGCTTGGTGACACTGTAGTGGAAGGAGCTCCAGAGCCACCTCTGGGTGTCCCCCTTCTGGCTACCTGCCCAGGGTCCCTTACTTTCCTCTGAGAGAGCCCAGGGGGAACATCTCACGAACTGTGAGAGTGTGTTTTTATACTTGGAAGTGGTGAATTATTTTATATAAGGTCATTTAAATATCTATTTAAAAAATAGGAAGCTGCTTATATATTTAATAATAAAAGAAGTGCACAAGCTGCCACGTGTGAGTCATGGGTAAGTTGCTTCTGGGGTGTGGGTGGCCCATGTAGGAGCAGGCAGAAGCAGCTGCTGGGTAAGCCCCAGCTTGGATGGCCTTTTCCAAGGTACATGAAGCAGGAGCGCTCGCTCCAAGTCTCAGTCTTGATATTGAACCCTCCTCCGTTATCGGTGTCCTAAACACATTCATCTTCGTATCTGCCTAATAAGAAGTCAGGCACAAAGCAGCCAAACCTCGGGCCTGGCCACTGGCCCCAGCCCAGCCTCGCCCAGCCAGTGAAAATGGCTGGTTGGGCTCTGTCCAAAGGCCCCAGGGGCCTGAGGGAGGAGACCTTGACCACTGGGTCTTCTGGCCCACCGGAGAGGGGGTGGCCAGGTACTCACAGGTTGCTGAGGTGAGCAGGTACTGAGTAGAAGGGGAAATACTGGCTGCCCTGGGAAAGGACAAGGCGAGTGAAGGACCTCCTCTGTGGGTGGGACTTGGGGCCTGGAAGAGGAGGGGGGACCAAGGCTGTGGCCTTCCACAGGCAAGGAGCTCTTAGAGGGGCCAGTGCAACTGAAGGTCCACATGCCCTAAGCACACACCTGAGACAAGAAGAACCTTCCGGCCCCAGATGTGGCGGACACATCTGGTTGTCCTCAAAAATTCTGATATCTGAGCCTTACACTAGATCAAAATACCGGGATCCCAGGCAGGAACCAAGTGTGGGAATTGCTAACACATTTCAAGTGACTCAAATGGGATCCAGGGTGCGAAGCAACTAGAGCCACACTGGCAGAAATGGCCTCTGTGAAGCTTCAGTTCATCCCAATGAAATGAGAGCAAGATTTGGCTCCTCAGCCTCAAGCGGCACACGGCTGCCATGCTGGTCAGCACAGACAGAAGACACGGGCATCGTCGCAGAAGTTCTACCGGACAGAGCTGCCTGGGAGAACCAGGGACAGAGATCAGGACCGGCGTCAAGTGCCCAGGAGTTGCCGCTGACTCTTGCACCCCTCCCCTCACTATTTCCCCTTTACTCAAAAGCAGCTCAGGAAGAGTTTCGAAGAAACACTTTTCCTTCAAGCTTCTAGCTCATTAAGGTCTCCTCCTCTGAGAAGCCTCCAGCTGACTCCGGCCCCTCAGGGCCGTCCAGGGTTAGCTCCTTCCCTCCCTGTGCTCTTCCACACAGCCTCTGCCCCATCAGGCTGCAGACTGAGGCAGGAGCTGTTCTGTCCCTCTTCATATCCCTGCAGTTGAGAGGACATGTGGACCCTGAACACACGATTAAAGACCCGGTAATGCAAATTCTTACCAGACTTAGTCCATGGCATCTCCTAGGGCCCTGACTGGTATTAGCCAATGCAATTAATACCTAATAATCACAATCGGTGACCAAACAGGGGAAGGATTTTCAGCAGGGAGATCTTGCTGTCTGCTGAGGGAAATGGGGCTTGGTTAGAACTCTACTCACAGGCATGCGTGCAGGGAAGACATGTTTTAAGGACTCTAAGCAACACCTTCAGGGGAACAAACAAAACCAGAAAATTCGACCCTTATCTACCTTTCCTGAAGCCCCAGAAGAGCCAGACACACTCAATGGCCCTTTCCTCGGGTAGCTGGAGCTACTTAGGAGGCATCAGACCACTAGTCTATTCACTGGATTAAGAGTGAGAACATAGGAGCTGCTGAGATGGCTCAGTGGTCTAAAGCACCTACTTAGAACAAGCTAAGCTAAACAAAAGCACAGGGACTGCGGTTCAATCCCCAGCACCACATGCCAGCCAGCCCCGCCCCCTGGTGGGCTGAGCTGGCCACACACACATAAATAAATAAATAAACAAAAATTTAAAAAATTAAAAAAAAAAAAAAAAAAGAGTGAGAACCTAAGTCCTTGACTTCGATGTCTTTTGGCCTAGCTATGTGACCTGGAGTTAGACGCCAACCTCCGACACTCACTTTTCTCCTCCTCTGTAGAACTACTTTTAAAGATGTGAGCCAAATATACTTAATCTGACATTCAAATAAAGTGACAAGCCCAAAAGCACTTTGCGGGCTCCCAAGGGCTGCAGTAAATAAAGTACGCTCTGGCGCTGCCCCCTGCCAGCTGGTCCTGCAGTGTCCATGTCGAATAGTTTCCTTCTGGCCACACATGGGGGAGTGAAGATGCTGCCTGAGCCTGGCTGATCTCCACGGAAGGTGGTAGGGCCTGGTGGGACAAGGGCCTTGCTGTGCGGGTCAGGAACTCCTGTTCCAAGGATGAGCAGAGGGGCCCAGCCAAACCTCTAAGCCTCTATCCGGCCAGAAGCAGGAAAGTGAATCAGAGGCAACCAGGAAAAGCCTGAGGTTAACCTCATGCAGACTGCGGGCCATGGCCAAGCAGAGGCTGATGAGTGCGCTGGGGTCCGGGTAGTGCCTGCCTTGTCCCTCCCCACCCCTTGAGCAAGGCTCTAAGGTTGTTTGGGGGTGGGGAGGGACAAGGCAGCTGAGAGCAAGAGAGGCTCAGTTTCCCAGCCGGCTCTCCTCCCCTGCGCCAGTGAGGTCCTCCCTGCCAGAGCAGCACTCTGTCCCCTAGTTTTCCTCTTCAGTTTCAGGGGTGCAGCATCTGAACAGGGTCCGCTGGCATGGATGCTGGGACTGCTGAGGGGACACGGTGGCCTGTGCCACTCTTGAAAGCCCCACAGCTAAGTGACTGAGCACAGAGAGGCCTGCTATCTCCCCCTGCAGAGACTGTAGCCTGGTCTCCAGGCTGGGGCTACCGGGAAAGCTTGCAGGCTTACCTTCGGAGAACTGTCTAGAGTCCACAGTGACTCATCTTCAAAAGTGGGCGGCTGGGAGTCCGAGGAGGCTGTGGATGACAGCCATTGCAACACCTCAAGCTCTGCAGGGACAGTGCCGGGGCAAGCAAGGGCTGGGCGGGCGGCTCTGCACCTCACAAATGGAAAACAACTAAGCACAGACAAAAGATGGCTTAGAGGCCAAGCAGAGAGTGTCATTGCGTATGTTCTTTGTACAAACCTGCCTTGAGGAGTGCAAGGAGAAATGCCCGGATGCTTCTGTCAACTTTGCAAAGTTTCCTAAGAAGTGCTCAGAAAGGTGACATGCCATGTCTGCAAAAGAGAAAATATTTTCCTGCATTCAACCTATGACACAGTGATATTTCATCATTAAAAAGTTTTTGGCCATTTAATTATCTGCCCACTTAAGTATCTCAGGTCTTAATATTCTAAAACTACAATATAGTTATACAGGTGTACAGAGATTAGAATGGGGTTCCTCAAACGTGATGCTAGGGACACTTGACTCCTCACTGTGAAGAGGGGTGACTTGGGCATTGCAGAAAGGCGAGGAGCATCCCCAGCCTCTCCATATTTGATGCCAGGATCCATTCACCTCCTCCCTTCAGTTTGGACAACCAAAAGTGTCATAGGTACTTTATTCCCATATTTCCACTTATAAATGGCCTGACAGTAATGCAGGGCACATCTGAAAATATTTAAAATGAGTTACTTTGAAAAAATTAGGTTCATCTATTGATGCTTTGGAAGCAACAACTTTGAAGCTTTCGTTCTTTTTCTCTTCAAATCTTTTGTCTTAGTATGATGAAAATTATTATTTCTATCATTTACTGAACTCTTATGTAAGGGAATGGCGTAAGGTAGTAAAACTGGTACCAGTGTAAAAGTGGTACTGGTAATCCATAAACCAGAAGCCAATGAATAGTTGGTTGACTTTTAAAATATAAAAGAGGGCCAGCCAAATAGCTCAGCAGATTAAAGTGCCTACAAGCAGGTACAGGGGCCGGAGGTTCAATCCCCAGGCCTGTCTTGCCGGCCCTGTCCCCGGGGCACTCTGAGATGGCAATTGAGACTGGGTGTGGTGGCGCGCGCCTGTAATCCCAGCTCTTGGGAAGCTGTAAACAGACAGATCACTATGAGTCCAATCTAGTAGTGAGACACTGAACACCTTGTAGACCCTTCCCTACAATACAAAAAAATTAAAAATATAGAATAGCTGGCTGGGAATGGGAAGTAGTGGAGAATTACTTTGTATCACATAATGGTGATGTGGAGACTGCGCAGAAGCTGTGTTGGGGGTGGGGAGCACCTAGCACACAGTACTTCACTGCTCTACACAGCAGTCTTGTGTGCAGTATCTGATTCTGAGTTTGCAGCTCGCAGTCATACAGTGAGTACATTGCTGGTGTTTTATGTCACAGCACATTTTGTCTTTGCTCCTTCCTGAGGGATGAAGCTTGTATCTTCCGTGCCCTTGGTTTTTGGAGGCCAAAGGCAGGCTTGACCTTCAGAGCCTTCAGACTCCTAAAGGTGCTTTGTCCACAGTCCAGGTGACTGACGCACACAAGGGTTACAAACAGTGGCACAAGTTCACTTTGTGCGCTGATTTTCAAGGCTAACATAGCTTTAATACATCTATCGATGGACTTCCTGGATTCTCTCTGTGTTTCCTGTTAATTTAAGAATAGGTTAAAAAAACTGTCTCATTGCTATCTGTTTATCAATAAAACTTTGGAAAAAAAAAAGAATAGGTTAAAATCATTTTGACATTTGAGTATAGGTATGCAAGAGAAAAATATACTTGTGCTTACTAACCCTAATTTTGAAATAGTGTTATTTTTCTATAATAAATGCTTCTGCCATAGAAATAAAATTTTTAAAAAGAGAGAAAAAAGAATCTGAAGACGCGGCAAAGGCCAGCAAGGGCCATTATGAAAGAGGAGCAAAAGCTTAAACCCCTTCTACGGAGGAAACACCAAGGTGGGCTGAGAAGCCTACAGTATACCAGAGGCCTCTGCCAGCCTTCTGGTCCAGTCCTGAGTGCCTCCCCAGATCAAAGGAGAGCATTCCTGCCTACCCATTGGTGGTGTCACAAATAAGTTGGGACACGAGTGGCAGCCCCTAGAAGGCCACTTTGCTGAAAGAAAAATGCAGAAATGATCTTGCTGCATGCAGAGCTCGTGGAAAGCCTGATATGGCAGTGGATGAAGA